CTACAGTATGTAAAGAAGGTTTCATATAAGTTTCCACTTTTTTGGCCTAGTGGTTCATGAGAAGAAGATTTTTAAAAGATATCACAAAATTTTCACTATTTCTTAATTATCTCCCCTTGAAAGAGGGCGTGACACTTCATTTGAACAAACCAAGGATGCTTTGTGGCACGTTTGGTTGAAACTGGCTCAGTGGTTCTTGAGAAGAAGTAGAAAATGTGAAAAGTTTACAATCGGACGGACGGATGATGGACAAAATGTGATCAGAAAAGCTCAATAGACTTTTTAGCTCAGGTGAGCTAAAAAAGTGTACTTTGTGAAAAGAAATTTATTGATTTTTTTTACTTCTGTCGTTTCTGAGGCACATGGCTCGGCTTATCCCTCCAGTGTCTTTACATCTAAATAAAATTATATATATATATATATATATATATATATATATATATATATATATATATATATATATATATATATATATATATATATATATATATATATATAAATATATATATATAAAATCGCAACACCGAAATAAACTCTTCCGGTTTCATTTTTTATCTTCAGGAGTTTGACAACATATTTCTTAGTTACACATAAATACAAAATCAACATTCTTACTGTGAAGTCAAAAAGCGCTAATATTAATTTACGCATTAGCAAAGATAATTATGATGTCATGACACAACGTAAGTAATTTAATACGGGAAATTATAATTTTTCATACAAATAATACAGATATACATTGCGGGAAAAGGTATATATCTGATACAAAATATAATTATGTAGCATTTAAAACAGGTTTATATCTGTTAATAAAAAGTTTTTCTTTGGTTAAATGTACACGTAGTTTCCTGATCAAGGTAGACAGAATTTTTCTAACTTCTAACATCTTTTCTATTTTAGTCTTCTTGACAATGTGTTTATAAGAATAGAGCTATTTAAAAAATGTGTATTTTGATAATATTAAGAGGTTAATCGGTCGGAACGTCTTGCGGTTAACCGATTGGCAATCTGTAATCGATTGCCATCCCTATCTCTCTATCTCTCTAACGAGAATCGAGAAAAACTCTGCTGACAGGAGCGTATTTTAAGAGAGAAACCTCATCCTCTCTCCCGATTAACACCCAAAATTAAAAATTTTCGATTCGATCATGGATTCCTTTAAAAGAGTAGGGCACCTGATGAAGTACAATAAGGCCTTTTAATCCTTTTTTTCTGTTTGCTTTACACTCAATATAGAAGGTAGAAGGTTGTGTATATGTGACTTCGGGTCAAATAACTGAAAGGGGTTGCTGAACCATATAGGGTAAACTGAACAACGAATTTAACAAAAAAATAAGACTGAATTATTTGGAGAGAAAAATAAGGTAGGTCAGCAGTAGGCCCAGAACGATTTTTTTAATATATTTTTCTTATCCAAATTTTGTAAACTTAGTTATCTGTTGATATGGTGTTGTGATTTTCTTTTTTCACATTCAACATATATCTGTCTTCAAGAAATGGAAAATAATTTTAAAATACAAGAAGGACACTCAATGCGTATTCTGATTACTTACAACTTCCTGGTTAGAATTTCGCAGAGTATACTTCATCATCAATTATCCCCTCCCCCAGTTTTAGCATATTCTCTTCTCCGTATTATTGTATTTACAAAAATACAAATCTTTTTCTATTGACCAAGTGTAATTTACTTAAAGAAGTTTTGAGTGTTTTTGTCGGGATAAAAACGAGTGCATTTATGAAGATTCGCTTTAATGCAGATCCAGGCAATTGTATTTAGGATAATTCTTTCTCCTTGTAATGGAAATTTTTTTTCTCTCATTACTTAAGGAAAGCCCACAAAAGAAAAAATCAAAGTAGTCATTACCATATTCGAGTGTTTAGGTTCGATTAAATGCACCCAGAGTCATATTTACGGTTTAGGACTCGGAAAATTGGTCCGTGAAAGGAATCCTCGTACGTAGGATTTATTTTCAAATACTCAACGTATAGATATGAATCTGATCAAATTACGAAATGTATTATCAATCCCAAAGTTAGATACACGACTGGCAATTGATTCTATTGTCGAGGTCTGCTACCTTGCTTTTGTCAATATGTGCAATGAAATTGTGTTTGGGTTTTCGATCTCATACTTTTTCTTCTCAATCCATTAACAAGAAATATTGCCCGTAACTTTGTGTGTATTTCGACAGAGAAAAATACCTGACACACACTTATTTTTCCTTTGTAGGTAAATTAAAGCTGCGTAGAATCTGAAATTTACGCAGTTTAAATCTCAAATGTCAGATAAATACAAGATACCGTCCTCGTCTACACTATCTACACAGTCTTCGAAGCATAAATTGCATATTAAGTAGGTATCATGAAACACAAAAGTTGTTTTGCTCTGGCTGAGACATTTTATTTCTTAAATCTGCAACATGACTACTTTAAGTTATGTTGCAAAAAATTACTTAAGCTATAGGACAAAATTTGACGTATAATGAAATATATGGAGATAACGAACAGTATTCAAGCTCAAAAGTCCATTAAACAATACAAAATAGGAGCAGAGCAAACATCAGAGGTGGGATCAGGTGCCATGGAGGAGTGAGCATCCCCTGCCGACCGGTCACACCCGCCGTGTGCTCCTTGTCACGATCGGGAAATAACGGTAAAATACGTCGACAATTCAGTTTGAAATGATGACTTTAAACGAGACTGCTGATAATCTTGATTCATCAACTTGTTTGTCAATAATTTATCTCGTTTTAGAAATTGTACATACGTAGAGCATGCCCTTGCGTATCGAATCAAATGAGAGATATAAACCCCGTATGCTGGTGATGAAGGTATATTGCTGCATAAGTAAGGGAAGTTGACGATTGAAAAGTTAAAGTCATCACGTTTATCATAAAGCTTGGTTGTTAGATTACCATTAACGTCTTTTTCAAGTAAAATATCTAAATATGAAGCAGATGTGTGAGACTCTGTGGTATCTTTTATCTCAAGCTCACCGATATATATCGTATCGACATAAGAATGGAAATAACCATTGTTAATTGACAATACGTCGTCGATATATCTAAATGTCGAGTTGAAAGCCACAGCAAGTGTTTTCTTCTTTTCACGTACAAGATTTTGGACAAATTCTGCTTCATATGAATACAAAAAGGTCTGCTAATAACGGGGCGCAATTGGTACCCATGGGAATTCCTATAGATTGGTGGAAGACCTGGTCTCCAAAAATCACATAGATATTGTGTACAATCAGAATGTTTTTTATCAAAATAATTTTGCAAATGTCCAATGACAAGGTAAGTAAATTTACGAGTTCCATTTTTATTGAGAAAGTAGCTGTGAATGATATCAAAAAGCCTGGACTTTAATTTATCGTGGGGAATGATTGTGTATAAAGTTGAAAAGTCGTAAGTTTTTAAGCTGTTGATTTTGGTAAAATCTTGTGATTTCAAATTTTCCAAAAGTTCCTTGGAATTTTAAAGTATCCACATCTGATTTACACCACTTCTCGAATATATCGTTGCACAGTACTCTTGAAGTTTCTCCTTCACTACTGTTAATATCTTAGTGAGGAGTAAAGAAAGAGGTTTGGTTGAACATTAACTGGAACCCGCTATGTATCTTTGTTTGTAAGGATTTTTATGAAGTTTCGGAATCCAATATAGATATGGTAATACAAATTTATTTTGGTTGTTTGGAATATTAAAAATATTCAAATCTGACATGATTTTGAAGAATTTCTTCCTTAGAAAGGGAACTATGAGTATAAGTTGGATTACCACTTGTAGAATTAAATCCAAGTTCCTCTAAAATACATTTAATATAATAATGAGCCTTACAAACAAAGACAATGTTGTTACCTGCTTTGTCAGCAGGGACCAGTACGTACTGATCATGTAATCTATCTAATTCTTTTTTCACTTCTGGATTATTGAATACAGAAGGATAGATGGTTCTCATATTGCCCCTCAATCTTTTAATGCGCGATTTTAACATACATCTGATACATTTAATCCATTCTGACAAAGTGTCAAGGTCTTCTTTTTCATTTCTGGCCCATCGCCTGGCATAATCCTCTACAGAATCCATAATATTTATGAAATTCCGACGCCAGTTGAAGGATCGGGGTTCCCAATATTTAGGACCTTTTAAAATTAATGATCTAAGGTCCTCATTATTAACTATATTTTCGTCACCAGTAATAACGTGTCCAGCAGGACTTTAGTTATAGGGTGAAGAAGAACATGAACACGATGGAGGATTATGTTTCAGATATTCGATATCCAGGCCCTGTAAAGTTTTCTTGTAATTAAAAAGTTTGGAAGCAATAGTCGATGTATATTTGTAGGAAATACAAGATGTAGTCTTTAACTTGAAATATGATGGAATACAAGTCTAGACTGGACCCTTTTGTGACTAAGAATACTACTTACATTAACCGCGTCAATTCCTTTGTTGGCATATTGAAGTTTAAAGAAAAAAAGGATTGTTTTAGCTGCATTTTCGTCAGTAAATCGTGGGGGTTTAAAAAGCATATGATTTGCAATATCCATAATCACAGACCCGAGCCTATATTCTGTTGTCGAGGAATCAAAAAATGGACTTTCCTTGACCTTTTCAAGAAGACTATTTAAAAGTTTCAAAGGGACAGAGTAAAGTTTGGTGCGTATATGATGTAGACCTAACTGTTGATTTACGTAAGGTAGTAATGAATCAAAAGAGACATCGTGTATTAAAGGTTTATTGTAAGACCGATGCCCATGACTACGCTTACGTCTTTGTGTATGGTTAAAAAGTCCCATCACATTTACATTGTTACACTGTGGACTGGAAAGATTTCCAACACTATCGACATTGTCATTACATCCATAGGGAAAGGCTGTCCCTAGTTTTCTAATCCAAAATTCTTCTCGTTGTCTACGGAAAGGTGTACTCAGTGATGGACTGTTTGTGTGGTGGTAAATCTTTTCTAGAATTCTAACTTTCATTGACAAAATAGAATGATCAGGTAAATTAAAATGCTTGTGTAAAAGCTGCTGACCTCCATTATTTATATGAAATCTATGAAATGATATTCTTTTATGAAGTGATCCCTTGGTTTCACCAACATAAACAAGTCCACAAAGATTACATTCTATTCCGTGGACTGTTGAACATTAGAAGATTTACAGTTCAGATTTCCGAAGTTTTGGTATAGAAGCTCTGTCCAGTAAGATTACTGGTGAAAGAAGTGTTAGTTATCAAAATGTCACAGGTTTTACAGTTTTTCGCAGAACATTTTGAAATAGAAGACACGAGATCGGGAAAGGAATCTTCAAATATATCTCTAATTGAAACTTTACATTCTTTCAATTTTTTGAATGAACTATTGGTTTTATACCAAAACTGGGAATCTGAAGACTGTACATATGACATATGCTTAATATCCCTGAGGATTACCCGAGGGGCACCGAATGAACTCCTTGAGTCTGTGTCCCTATAGACTCAAAAGAATGACGCCTTTTTATACTGGGTGACGCGTCTGCCAGTATCATTTCCTTATTCTTTGTACTCATGCATGAATAGGTACCGAACGACAAGTATACTCACGGACAGACTGTCCACCAGCAGAGATACATGTTCGGTGGTTAAAATGAAATATATCAAGATAACGAACAATATTCAAGCTCAAAAGTCCATTAATACAAAACAGGAGCAGAGCAAACACGGACCTCCAAAGCATCAGAGGTGGGATCAGGTGCCATGGAGGAGTGAGCATCCCCTGCCGACCGGTCACACCCGCCGTGTGCTCCTTGTCATGATCGGGAAATAACGGTAAAATCCGTCGACAATTCAGTTTGTAATGGCCTAATAATAATACGAGACAAAAATAGATTTATAAAACAAGACAAAAATTAACATTAAACAAGACAAAATTTGACAAAATTGGATTTATAATACAAAACAAAATTAATTATAATACAGGACAGCCTCCCCCCCCCCCCCCAAAAAAAAAAAAAAAAGATTTATAATACAAGACAAAAAATTGATTTATAATACAGGACAGAAATTGACTTATTTATGTTTTTATACAAGATAAAATTTGGATTGTAATACAGGACAGACATTGACATTTTAAACAGAAAATTAGACAGAATACAGGACAAAATTTGACTTATAATACAATAGACTTATGACATATGACAAAATTGACTTAAAATTTAAGTACAAACATCTTATCGACAACACATAACATCATAACTGAATATAATTTTTTTTTCAGTATGAGTATGAAATGCTCGAACACCGTATTTTTATGGATACTAGGATCCTCTGTATGTATGGCTGCAGAAATGGCCAAACTTGATGGAGATATTTTTATCGGAGGGCTGTTTAAGATTTTTGAAGAAGAGAATGGCGATTGCTCCAATAGGATCGACATCGCGTCAATTAGAGATTATGAAGCCGTAAAATGGACCCTCAACACTTTGAATTCAGTCGGTTACATTCCCGGAGTTAATATAGGTACAGTGTACTGCTCCTCAAGCAATAGATGATCCTTTTAATATATAGCTAATAATAATAAATTGGTAATAATAGGAGAACACAGAGAACTTGTTTTAGACGTACCGTTAAATGTGTCCGTAAAAAGTTACCACTAATTGTCGAAAATTAACTAATGTGTTTCAATGGTTATATCTGGATTTCAGTTGTTTCCTCTTTATTTATAGTTTGCTTATAAGTGGTTCCTTTCTATGCATTTTAATTTAATGAAACAGATAAAAGTGCTTCGTCGAGAAAGGCTTTATTTTGATCAACTTGATACAAAGCTATAGAATACTACATAGTATTTGCCTGTGCCGTCAAAATTATTTTCGGTGTATGCAAACTGTAAAACGATTAGACGTAATAAACACCATTACAACGTTGGTATGATTACATGTTTTTGCTGTTTTAGGTATTGAAGCTTTTTCTACATGTAATATACCCGGCAGAGCTATTCATCACACTGTCAGCTTCGTACAAAAAGCGTTAGAGAACGGAGTCAATGTTTCATCTCAAGCCATTATAGGTATACTAAAGCCGGATAGGCTCATTTTTGACAAGATAAAAAAAATATTTAACTCGTTATAACGAGATAATTATCTCGTTATAACGAGTTAGTATCTCGTTATAACGAGTTAGTATCTCGTAATAACGAGTTAGTTATCTCGTTATAACGAGTTAGTTATCTCGTTATAACGAGATAATTATCTCGTTATAACAAGTTAGTTATCTCGTATTAACGAGTTAGTATCTCGTTATAACGAGTTAGTATCTCGTAATAACGAGTTAGTTATCTCGTTATAACGAGTAAGTTATCTCGTTATAACGAGATAGTTATCTCGTTCTAACAAGTTAGTTATCTCGTATTAACGAGTTAGTATCTCGTTATAACGAGTTAGTATCTCGTTATAACGAGTTAGTTATCTCTTTATAACGAGTTAGTTATCTCGTTATAACGAGATAATTATCTCGTTATAACGAGTAAGTTATCTCGTTATAACGAGATAATTTTCTCGTTATAACGAGATAATTTTCTCGTTATAACGAGTTAATATCTCGTTATAACGAGTTAGTTATCTCGTTATAACGAGTTAGTTATCTCTTCATTACGAGATAATTATCTCGTGATAACGAGATAAAATTGATCTAAAGAGTTGATATATCTAAGTAAAGAATAGACCATTATTTATAGGAAATATACAGAAGCGAGTCGATCAAATTTGTTTGAAGTGTGCGTGATAAAGATTTTATGGAACAGCATACTAGTTTTTTTGTGTTATGGCTTTCATTAGTATTGTTTATTGAAAAGACCGAAGACAAATATATGGAAACTTATGAACGCCTCATGTTGTTGTGTTATACCTTAAAACTGCAAAATAGAATTAGTGTCATCTTCAAATGGAATGTATATAACGTCAAAATTTTGTCAATTTGTACAAGGAGATTAGAAAAAAAAATGATATACTCTGGCTGATTTAACTGCCCTGTTCAAGCTTTCTTGACTTTGTTAAAATTATGATAATTTGTTAACAAGGAATACCAGTTAAATTTTATTGTCTTAAGGAGGCAAGATCAAAATTCAATGTCTGACAAAAAACTAAATTCACGTTGTTTTTATCACCAATCCCTCCTTCCCCTCAATAATAAATACGATGAATTTCAAGAACTAATACTGTACTTATCACTTAACAATTTATATATTTCTTTTGTTTATTAAAAGAAAGAAACATTTTAATTTACCAGTTTGGAATGAAATCTCATGTACAATATATATATATATATTTTTGCGTTATTATCAATGTGGTAGAATAAAAAAAACTTCTGGGGCTCTTTATTCTACGGAAGCCACAATAAAAAGGTGAAGGTCAGCAGGCTGAATGTAGTGCATGTATGAAATTCACATGCCTCACTTTGACAATAGTAAAAACAGTTGACATGTTTGTGATCCTTTTTGGGTATAGAATGAAAGTTAAATATCTAAAGTTTACAATATGATACGCATTAATTAAGGTGTATTTCAAGCATAAATTATGCCTAGATATGTGTATTGTATAGTGAGACAGGATTTTTGATATTTTCACTCGTGCTTCGCACTCATGAAAATAAATTTAAAAAAATCCTGTCCCACTCGTGAAATAAATTCCACATCAACTACAAAACATTGAATATCCTCTATTTATTACCCCCCCCCCCCCCAAAAAAAAAAAAAATCATCAATCTCTTTTTAAAATAAAAATTATATGCTTGCAAAGTATACGTAATAAATATTGTGATGAGGAAAATAATTAACGACATTGCTTCAATGTTGTATCAATAATATACATGTAATATTAGGCCTATTCGTTGATCAATCCCAAGTAGAGAGATTATAAAAGTGAACTGGCTTTGTAAACTCTGTAAACTTTTTTTTGTTTTGTAAACTCTGGTTTGATGTTTTGTCACCATGTGGTAAACATAGGATCCACCAAATAGACGTGAATCTCAAATAGGTCTACTTGAATCTCCACAGCTTGGACCCCCCCCCCCCCCCGCAAAAAATATAAACAGTGAATCATGACAGAAAATTAGATAAAATGTTAATATCGGCAGATCAGATCTAACGCCTTATTACTAAGAAGGATGTAATATCATTTTTGCTTCATCATTCCTCATCATCGTGGACAATCTGCATAAGCTTAGTCACAAAGTTCAAAGGGGGGGGGGGTAAACCAAGCAAAAAGAAAAAAAGAAAAAAAAAGAGATCTGATATTCCAACTACGAGTATTTGCCATTAATTTCGGGAGATATTTACTCGGGTAAAAAATATCTTGAGGAAGGGGCACAAAGATAATCTTAACCGCCCCAATTCAAAAGTGGTGGTGGGGAGATAACTAACTTGTTATAACGAAATAATGAGATAACTACATGTAACTCGTTATAACGAGATACTTACTCGTTATAACGAAATAACTAACTCGTTATAACGAGATACCTAACTCTTTATAACGAGATACCTAACTCGTTATAACGAGATACTAACTCGTTATAACGAGATACTAACTCGTTATAACGAAATAACTAACTCGTTATAACGAGATAATTAACTCGTTATAACGAGATACTAACTCGTTATAACGAAATAACTAACTCGTTATAACGAGATAACTAACCCGTTATAACGAAATACTAACTCGTTATAACGAGATAATTATCTCTTTATAACGAGTTAATTTTCTTTTCTTGTCAAAAATGAGTCTATCCGGCTTTCGTAAGGTATAAACAATAAGGCAAATTTGTTTTTTCATAAATTGTGCTTCTAGTACTATTTATAATATGATCTGTATGAAAAATAAAAAAACAAACAAACCCTGGAACAAATATTTTATTAAAAATCATGTTCGCAGTAAAGTAAAGTTTATTTTGGATTTTGCAAATTGATTATTATTATTCTATACGTTTATATAGCGCCTTATCTAATTATACAATTATCCTAAAGCGCTTTACATGTAAAAACAAGTACAATATAAAACGACGAACAAGTACAATATAAAAAGGAAGAATAGTAAATCATAGGACATAAATATAATACCAGACTAAATTTAAGGGTTTTTTTTAAAATATATATATATATATATATATATATATATATATATATATATATATATATATATATATATATATATATATATAGACATTGTAAATATCTACTAATAGAACAATTTCTCTCAAATTTGAAAAGTCCTCGGGGTATAAAATCGAATTTGGGAGAGGAGGTATTTTCCTGTCCACAAACACCTGAGATTCTGGCGGAATTGCCTTGGCTCAGTCGTGGTTCTTGATTGACACTTAGCAAGTAGTGTTTTCGTACTTAATGAAGCAGATTTATAATCCACCCTTTGCATAGTCGTTTGTGCGTTATTCCATAATGACTTAATGTATAAATATTTGACAAAATTAATCATATTGATAGCACTTATTTGTGATTGTATCATATTGTCCTGTCAAGCATTTTTAGTATTTAAAATTTTCAAGGCTAAATTAAGCACACTTACAGTTTAATATTATTCGGAAATTGCAATCAAGAAAGCAACAAATCGTGTATGACCCTTTTCTACGCTGAATTTTTAGTATGCAATAGTAAACATTCACGATGCCTAAAAACTTTAAGGTATAAATACGCCTAAGAAGTATATTTTTATTAAGGAATTATGGGTCCCGAAAGCAGTTCGGAAGCTGAAGTAACTTCTAGATTTATAAGTTCTCTGGAAGCGAAGCATCAATTGTATCAGCTTTTGTTCTCTGCAACAACCGCAAATTTAAGTGACAAAAGATTCCAAAATATTCTGAGGGTAATACCTAATGACAAACTCCAATCAGAGGTATTTTTTATTTTCTAGTAGCTTATTTAAATTATAAAATACCCTCTGTACTCTAAATCACATATATAATGTATTTCTTTTAATAGGTTATGCAAAAACTTCTAAATTATTTGGATTGGAATTACGTTGCTGTGGTGTACGAAAACACAGCGTATGGAAGGGGGGCATTTGAAGAGTTCTCACAGCTAGCGAAGCATGTTGGAATCTGCATTCCCAAATCCTTTTCCCTTCAGACAGGAAAAACTGCAAACGTGGATTTATCAGCTATTAGAACTGTTTTGGACCAATTATTAAGCAACGCCGAGAGCCAAATTACAGGTGCCATATTTTTTGCTTCCACCTCAACAGTGAGTACGTTCTTAGATATTGCTCAAGCACGAAAACAGGCTACAAACTTTGGCTTGGTAATGGTATTTTCAGAATCAGTAGCACTAGAGAAATCTATGTTTGACCAATATGACAGTGTTTCCAAAGGTTCATTTGTAACAAGTCCGCCAGCTATCACTGTTGAAGACTTTTTGCGTCACTGGGAGAGCATAATGGCAAATAAAACAAGATTTGTAATTGAATCCAGATCAAATCCATGGCTTTTTGATGCATTTCGGCGATATCAATCGTGTGATCCATCCTCAGACGTATGTTCAATGCCGACGATAGAGGAAGTTAGAGCTACTGAAAGTGAAAATATTTTCGAAAGTTATGCTATCATGGCAACGCTTATTCAAGTCAATGCAATTAGAGTGTTACATTCAGAAAGATGTGGAGGCGCTAATGGAATTTGCTCTGGATTGAAGACCATACTACTCCAAAGTAAAAATACTTTGATTAAAAAGGATTTTTATGAAATGACATTTGATACATTGCCCTTTTCGTTTCCAACAAATTTCAGTGTAATTGTGAACGGTAGCAACGACGCACTTTTGGTTGGAAATATTTCATCATATGAAATTTATCAGTATAGAAGTTGTCTTTCACAGAATAACAAATTCTGCATGGAAAAGGTGAGAGAGAGAGAGAGAGAGAGAGAGAGAGAGAGAGAGAGAGTCGTTCTTTCTTTGAGTACATTGACAGACAAGACTGCACTTTGCTAAAGATAATTTGAAACCGAATTTTATAGTCTGTCCAACTGTCTTGAATATACATGAAAAATTAATTGCAGAGACATATTTTAATGTAAGCTCGAAAGAATCATACATTTACTTTGTTAAAACAAGATGTGTTTGTGAAACACTGATGTCCCCGTATGGCAGTTGATAGCGAAGGTTAAACTTTCTCAAATGCAAGTCAAACTCCAGGTCAAGAGATCAAAAATGTTGGTCTAAAGGAATATACCTGTGAAATATGAAAACAATAACACCAACCATTGCAAAGACATGGAGAAGGGTTTAAGTGTTTCAAAAGTAAGTCAAAAATCAAGGCCAAGGTCAATGGGCCAAAATTGTTGGTATCAAAAGGAAAGTCTTGTTACAAAGAATACACATGTAAAATATGACTATCCTACAATGTAACATCAATCGTTCAAAAGTTAAGGTCAAAGCTTAAGGTTTTTCAAAGGTAGGTCAAACTCCAAGGTCAAAGGGTCAAAGTTGTTGGTATCCAAAGGAAGGTCTTGTCACAAGGAATATACTTGTTAAGTATGAAAGCTTCAGCACCAACTGTTCAAAAGTTATGGCCAAGGTTAAAGTTGCTTAAAATTGTGTAAAACTTAACCAAACTCAAAGGTCAAGTTCAAAAGGTCAAGAATGATGGTACCAAAGTAAGGTCTTTCACAAGGAATACACGTGAAGTATGAAAGCCACAGCTCTGACCAATCAAAAGTTATAGGCAAGGTTAAAGTTTTAGCGGACAAACAGACAGACAGACGGACGGACAGGGCAAAAAATATATGCCCCCGAATCTTCAATTACGGGGGCATAAAAATATTTAATTGCAATAAAAAAAGGTTGTTCTAAAAAAGCAATTGGTATCATCTATAAGAGAGAGGTTGAAAATCGTCAACCTAACTAAAAAACCAAAAAGCATCTTTACAAACGTTACATTTATCTATTAACCAATCTCTTTATTTGCCCCTTAGTTTCAGTCTGCCTAAAAGATAAATAAAATTTTTGATCGGATTTTTGATGTAATAGAAGATAACGCTAATCGCTTTAAATAATTCCTTTTAATTCTTCCAAACATTAATTTGATATTCTAAAAAATCATAATATATATGTCAACAGGAAAAAATCTGAAAAAAAATGCTCTGGGATAGGGAAAGACTATACTAAGACTTCAAGACAGATTTGTTTGAAAACGCCTTTGAAGGATAAAAAAAATTGAATGATCCCTCCGTATTGGTCATAATACCACATAAAAAACCCTCTAGTATGTGGTTTTAAATAAAGCTGTAAAAAAGAGGGTGAAATGCAAGTAAACATTAAACATAAAATATTTTTCTCTATTTTAGGTAGCAGGGTATGATAAAGGCTCATTAGATATTCAACGAGACAGACTCGCAAGCTATGATGATAACGTAGAATCAGAATGGCCGAACATACATAAAGCACAGTGTTTCCCAGGTAAGAACTGTGCGTCCTGTAAAACAGAAGATACAGCGAAAGAAATTTACTTTGAAGAGGGAGAATTGTATGTTGTTGGAGTTGCACCAATTTATAATGGAGATGCTTCTAATCCATTGCGTTGTGGTGACATCAGAGAAATGAATGGTTGGGAAATAACAGAAGCGATGTCTTATGCAGTTAGCAAAATTAATCTTGACAAAGACATTTTTCCTGAAACAAAAATAGGTTATATAATATTGAACAGCTGTAACCAACCCGTTATGACTACAAAAGCGCTACTGGATATGTTAGATAATGATAATGGAGTAATGTTAACGAATGGAACATTCTTAAGAAATATTTCTTCTAAAATATTAGCTTTTGTCGCCGAACTAGGAAGCAGTATTAGTCAAGCTTCAGCTAAGGTCCTACAAGAGTTCAACTTTGTCCAAGTTGCTTATGGCTCCACGGCAGCCGTACTGAGCAACAGAGAGGAGTATAAATACTTTCTAAGGTTGTGCACTCCGGACACGAATCAGGCGAAAGCCATGGTAAACCTCCTACATGATTTAAATTCCAGTTACATCCAAATACTTTATAGTGAGGGTACATATGGTGAAGGTGGGAGAGATCAGGTTGTTCAATTGGCCAAGGCAATGAATATATGTATAGCTAATAGTATAAAAGTAGAAGAAAACAAGTATACCAGAATTCTTGATGACTTGAGGAAGAAGCCATATGCCAACATTGTTCTCTTATTCTTAAAATCACATGTCGTTTTCGATGTTGTGACTTTGATTTCCACATCTATGGAATTTGGAGAATTTCACTTCATTGCAAGTGAAGCATTTGGTACAAGAAGCGACATAGTGAACAATAATCCTAAACTAGATGGAACCCTTTCATTATCCTTGGAATTAGCCATGGATTATAATGAATTACAGCATTATATCTATGACAAATTACAGAAAAACGACAACCAAAACCCATGGACAAGGTCCTATTTTGAAAAAAAGTATAATTGTTATTTACCCAGCAGTTTTGACAAATCATCCAACACAAAATGTAGCGGTGTGCTGGAGGAATATAATAGCACAGAATTCAAGCCCAATACGTGGAGCCCTTTTGCATTGTATGCAATCACAACAGTCCTTAAAGGAACATATGCTGCTTTCCAAAAATTCTGTGGACAAAAGTCTGAAAAAATTTGTATCGATTATAGAAACAAGCCGAATGAAATCTGGGAGTTTGTGAAACAACAGAAACTGCTTTTAAATGGCGTTTTAACAAGCATTTTTGACGAAAACGGTGATGGGAATTTAGGGCACGTTATATATCAAACTCAAAAATCAAAGAGCGATCCACAAAAGTTTGACTTTATAAAGGTAAAGTTTAAAAATACATTTTATTACATTTTCAATAGTGAAATACTGTGATTTATTTATTGAATAAAAATGATATTCTTTCACAGTGTGAGAGGATACAAAAATGTTATTCTGTCACAGTGTGAAAGGATATCAAAGTAAGTAAAATGACATCTGGCCTGTCATAGGATAGAGATAGTAACTAAACCTTCTTGATAGACACCAAAACAGTATTATTCCTCCCAAATATATTACTAAAATCCATGTTAAAATGTTTTCAATCTCACAATGCTGAGCTTCGACGCCTCAACCGCTCGACTGTGACGTCAAAGGCTATAACATAAGACAGAAGCAACGACAAATCAAAGAAAATGTAATTAACAGAAAATTCAATGTTTCGTAGTTTGATATGGAATTTATTTCACTCGTGAGACAGAATTTCACTAGTGCTTTGCCCTCGATATAAAAATGGAAAAAAAGAAAACAAAATAAAAAAAAATCCTGTCCCACTCGTGAAATAAATTCAATATCCAACAAAAAAACATTGAATATCTTCTATTTAGTTCACATTTCACAGCAAAACACAGTAATACAACTCATACACTTTTTAAAAAGTCATTTATATATATATATATACATACATATATATATATATATATATATATATATATATATATATATATATATATATATATATATATATATATATATATATATATATATATATATATATATATATATATATATATATATTTTTAGATTGGAAGCTATAGTAATGGATTAAATTACACCATTGGAAAAAATACGACAATTGACAAAGCTGACGTCTTTTCTAGCGTATGTCCGCATAAAAAGGAATGTGACATTTGCACTGAGTTTTTTGGAAGGACTCCCACTCAATCAACTGTCGCCAGGTGAGTATTGAGTTTTCCTCAGCATACAATATATATTATATTGATACAAATAGTTTGGAAAGTTACTTCACTTGAACCTGACTTCCACTCGCTACCTTTTTTGAGAACGTAATTTTTTAATTTAGAATTTAAGGATAAAAATGTCCAATGACAGCCCTCTTCCCCCTTATATGGACATTATCTTCCAATCAAATACAATTTTGAGTTGGGAGAATTCTCTTTTTTCTGGAGGAGGGAGGGGGGGGGGTGGTAGCAGTGGGGAGCTACTTAAGCATTTCTTTAGATAAGTTGTCAATTTTTATGCCCCCGGATCGAAAGATCCCGGGGGTATATTGTTTTTGTCCTGTCTGTCTGTTTGTCTGTTTGTCCGTTTGTCTGTTTGTCTGTCTGTCTGTTGTCAACTTTAACCTTGCCCATAACTTTTGATTGGTTGGAGCTATGACTTTCATATTTCACACTGTATTCCTTGTGACAAGACCTTTCTTTGGGTACCATCATATTTGACCTTTTGACCTTGACCTTGGAGTTTGACCCACTTTTGCAAAATTTTATGAGACTTTAACCTTGGCCATAACTTCTGAACAGTTGGAGCTTGGGGTTTCAAACTTCACATGTGTATTCTTTGTGACAAGGCCTTCTTTTGGATACCAACCACTTTGACCTTTTGACCTTGACCTTGGACTTTGACCTACTTTTGAAAAACTTTAACCTTGGCCATAACTTTTGAACAGTTGGTGCTTAGGGTTTCATACTTCACATGTGTATTCCTTGTGACAAGACCTTCCTCTGGATATCAACCACTTTGACCCTTTTGACCTTGACCTAGGAGTTTGACCTACTTTTGAAAAACTTTAACCTTGGCCATAACTTTTGAATGGTTGATGCTAGGGCTTTCATACTTCACATATGTAATCCTTGTGACAAGACCTTCCTTTGGATACCAAGCACTTTGACCCTTTGACCTTGACCTAGGAGTTTGACCTACTTTTGAAAAACTTTAACCTTGGCCATAACTTTTGAATGGTTGGTGCCAGGGCTTTCATACTTCACATATGTAATCCTTGTGACGAGATCTTCCTTTGGATACCAACCACTTTGACCTTGACCTTGACGTTTGACTTTTATTTAAAAAACTTTAACCTTCACCATTACTTTTGAACAGTCGTATCTAGGTCTTTCAAATTCCACAGGTGTTTTCCTCGAGACAAGATCTTTCTTTGGGTATCAACATTTTTTATCTTTTGGCCTGGATTTTGACTTGCATTTGAGAAACTTTAACCTTCGACATAAGCTGCCATACGGGGGCATAGTGTTTCACAAACACATCTTGTTTTTCTTATAATGCCCCCCTTTTCAAAATCAATTCTATATCCTGACATTTATTTTCTCTACATTGCACCTAAAATTGAATTAAAAATTCCAAATTAATACAACTGGTTATATTTATTTTTACCCTATTTCTCTCATTATGTTTGGCTAGTACTTCAGTGAATGTAAACAAGTAAAATGGCATAGAAAGAATTTCTTTCATTTAATCATTGAATCATATAATAAAACAATTATTGCTGTTTTTTTTGTCAATATGACGATTTAGCCACCCTCGAAGGGTAATTATCACATCGGCTCAGTGAATATTGTACTCCCCAGGTGTCTAAATATCGTATTGACCTCGAAACTTCAAAACTAGCAATAATTGAATAATGTTCACCTGGAAGATCATTTTAAGGTGACCATAAGAGTATTTTTCTACATTGTTGAATCTCAGCCAATTAGAGAGAAAGGAGAAATTTAGTCATATAATAAATACATATGTATTTTTTAATTCCATAGCCCCAAAGAAGGCTCCGACTTTAGAGAAGGCGCTACCATAGGGTTAGGAGTACTGGCTGGCGTCCTTTTCCTTATCATAATCGCTATGATTTTTATTATAAGAAGAGGTATGACATTAATCATGATCCAATGATTAACTATAAATGGTTAGATTCAAAAGGAAGAAAAAAGTTAATTGAATTAAACATAAGGAGGTTCGTATTAGAATATTTTTAACGAAGAAGAGGCAGAAAGGATGACTGCACTTAACGCCTGTTTTTGGGTCTTTTTTGGTTGCTTCCGTTGCTTTTATATCTAAACCTTATCTCACTTTTGTATGTTTATGAAAGAATATTGTCAATTTGGAACCACATTTATATCTTAACATGATTTTAGACTGTAATACAATAAAATGATTTAATGTTTTTTGTCCTTACTGCTTTCCAAATATAGTGAATTTACACTTACCTGCCCTTGATTGAACATCAGATATGCATGAGAGGTGGAGCTAACATTGTAAGAGTGGGTCTAAAATTAGACTTGATAAATAACAATGACATGTTTGGAAAAGCGAACGTGATCACTCTTTCCAATCTCCCTCTTTATTCTGTATGGCACAAATACACTTCTGACAAAGGTTTCAAAACGAAATTAACAATATGAGTACGTCAATGTGATTAAAGCAGATTTCATATCAATGCCAGATGACTTAACGTGTTCGAACACAATGTCCCAGTTAGCACAAAACATGCTACCTTACAAGTCACGTGACGGAATTAAGTATTCACAAAGTTACCTGAGGTAGAAATCACGTGGTGAATTATAATATTCAACATGTCACAGTCCTTGGTTACAACACAGAGAGCGAATGTAAGAAGAATCAGTTTTTTTCTCTTTTTAACCATGAGCGCATGTTTGTCTATTAATCCCCTTTTGACACAGTATTATTTATGCAAATATACAACTACTGTTAAACGTAGAACAATAGACAAACATGCGCTGACTATGTATAAAGTCAGTAAAAAAGTGGGCGTCCTCATTATCGAACGAAGATTCAAGAAATTGTGATGACCCCTGCCTTTGAAAACAGATTCGAACTTCGTAAATACACACTTTTATTAAACGTAATTACATAAAGTTGTAGATTGGATGTTGACCATTCATGCAATGAAAAGAAAAATGCTTGTTTTGAAAGTTTATTTTGTCGCAAATTCCGCATGTCCTTAAGTGCAGTCATCCTTTAAGAGGTTCAAAATATGATCGATGAAGGATCTTAAGGTGACTAGGCGATATGAATAAGAATGTTTTATAATTAAGAAAAAGTATGATTCAGTATGGTTTAGGAAATAAAAAAGATAAGATTTAGGAAGATCACTAAGACTAGGCATAATTAAGGATGTTTTTGGCTTACTTGGATGTATCATTCAGAATGTCTGTAGATCAGAGGCTTGACTCTGGATGTTTAAATGATAAATTTAGCTCTGGTTTATGACCATTTGTAAAAAATTTGTTTCAGGATTTTGTACACCTTCAAATCAATCGGATCATTACGGTAATCTTCATTTTATTATAAACTATTAAATGTAATGTCTTACTTGTAATATTTTTTAATGATCACTCAATATAGGAGGAAGTAGAATGTTCATATTTTTTAAAAATCTTTTTTTTTCAGCTAGTGCCAATGATTTTGGCTCCAGAGAAACTTATTTGACTGCTGTTGCTGAGAATCCAAAGAATCTGAACTAATCATTCAGAGAGAGAGAGAGAGAGAGAGAGAGAGAGAACACAACCATCACTTAACTATTGAATCTGTGTATTAATAATTGTTAATTGCCAGTGATGTTCAAGCTAGAAAATAGTACGTATGAGAGGAAATACTTTCTTTTCGAATTTGGTTGCACAAACGTTAGTTAAATTAATTTGTAGTTGAATCAAATTATCGTCTAAATCCACAGGTACTTGTGGACAGGACCCCCCCCCCCTTCCAATATGCCCCACAGGTCAAAAAATATTTTTATGTATTTTTTTCATAAATTATTCTTCTAGTACACATTTTACAATGTATTCCATAAGAAAAATCCAAAAAATAACGCAGAATTAACGTTTTACTAAAAAATCATACCCGCGGTATTATAAAATAGAGAAGGTAAGTCACTTCCATTTGTTTACACTGGACCCCTCTTGGATATCAGGCCCGAAATATCATTTACCTAATACATGTCACCGAAATGTGTCATGATATCTTGTTTCGGTAGATATTTTTGTCTTTAATCGTGCTATTTAATTGCCCAGGCATCCATTAATAATCCGAGTATTCATCGTCAAACGTGAAAAATGCTACAAGATTTGGAAATGTCAGAGTAGAAATTACGGAAGTGATGCAAAAACGACACCTAGCGTGTAACTCTCGAGTTCCGAGTGTTATAGAACTAAGGGAAAAGTCAGAGGTCTACGAAAAAGTTCGGGAAAATTTTGATAAAGAAGTCGAAATTGATTCATTAGAATTAAATTCTGCTTAAGATTTTCGAGATGAGCGAGGGTAGTCGTCAATATTCCCTTTAAAGGATGTTATCATTGATACCAAGTAGCGGTTTAAAAATCGCTTAAACATTATAAACTTGACATGTAAACCCCCCCCCCCCCCACTCCACCTCGACCGCCTTCCCCATCTGCGTGGACATGGAATTTTCATTAAATTGTGTCTGCGGAAAGGTGGATATCCGTTAAACTAATGTGGTAGTAAATATAATATTTAGAATGATATACTAGTTTTAAAAATAAGTAAAGACAGAAATGTGATTATTTAAAACTGTACAAAAAAATCTCTTTTTTTTCCCCATTTGTTATGAATTCGCCACATGTATTTAATCAATATTGATTAATTTGGGGACGGGGGCTGTGCAACGTCATTACAAGTTACAGTGTTGGAGAAAAACAAATTGACCGGTTGATGAATGGTTGTACAACCCATGCAATATTTAAACGTCAATTGCTACGTAATACAAGTTGCAATTATCTAACTATGACTGTTAGAAAAGACGTACCTAAAGAACTTTTTTAAAAGTCTTTATTTTATAGAAGTTAAGCTTCCGTTTGTTCAATTGAAATAATAGCAGCTTGATATATATGTAATCAAGGCCAGAAATAAACTCAGCAGTGCGACGCGAGAGTAAAGAAAAGCATGAAAATTATTTTTAAAAAAAATGGGGTTCTGATTTTCATTCTTAAGAATTAATTTGAAAAGACCCACATTTAAATTCCTTGGCAAATGATAATCATCGCATAAGAATATTAAAAAATACACATAATTATTAAGCTTATATTATCGGAAGCATGTCCATGTAGAAGGGGAAGGGGGGTTACATGTCTTGTATGTCGTAAATAAATGTTTAAGCGATTTTTAAACCGCTACTTGGTATCAATGATAACATCCTTTAAAGGGAATATTGACGACTACCCTCGCTCATCTCGAAAATCTTAAGCAGAATTTAATTCTTTCTTTATCAAAATTTTCCCGACCTTTTTCGTAGACCTCTGACTTTTCCCTTAGTTCTATAACACTCGGAACTCGAGAGTTACACGCTAGGTGTCGTTATTGCATCACTTCCGTAATTTCTACTCTGACATTTCCAAATCTTGTAGCATTTTTCACGTTTGACGATGAATACTCGGATTATTAATGGATGCCTGGGCAATTAAATAGCACGATTAAAGACAAAAATATCTACCGAAACAAGATATCATGACACATTTCGGTGACATGTATTAGGTAAATGATATTTCGGGCCTGATATCCAGAGGGGTCCAGTGTAAACAAATGGAAGTGACTTACCTTCTCTATTTTATAATACCGCGGGTATGATTTTTTAGTAAAACGTTAATTCTGCGTTATTTTTTGGATTTTTCTTATGGAATACATTGTAAATGTGTACTAGAAGAATAATTTATGAAAAAAATACATAAAAATATTTTTTGACCTATGGGGCATATTGGAGGGGGGGGGGGGGGTCCTGTCCACAATTACCTGTGTCTAAATCTACAAATCCATAACTAGCTCTTAAATTTTAACTGCCAGTTATATAACAGGTAAATTTTGGCCGCATGAAGCTTAATTACATGTAATTAATAATCCATTTGGTACTTAAAACACAAAACGGGGGGTGGGTGGGTGGGCTTAGTTAGCTCGTTGTTCAATTCGTCTAGTTCGCGTTTTCATCTACCTTATCGACGGTCAAGAACAATCGCTTCGAGGAGAGAAAGGAATAGTAATTTGTTTTCCTATTTTCCTTTATTTATATTCTACATTTATTTACATTTTACATTCATGATGATACATTTTACGTTACATTATATTCATTTCATAATACGCTCCGTGATCGGAAGGTCGTGTGTTCGAAGCACGGCCGCGACTGACCTAAGTCGATAAAAAATAGATAGCAACTGTTCCTTCGCCAAGCGCTCGGCATTTTGAATTGAAAGTTGCAGGTCCTTCGGATGAGACCTTAAAAACAGATGCCCCGTGTTACGGTAGGCGTTGGCACGATAAAGAACCCTCACTACTCAATGGATCTGAGTGTCGAGTAAAGGTCTAAAATTTGAAGACCTTCGCCGGTATATGGTGACGTCTCTATATGAGTGAAAAATTCTCGAACGTGACGTGAAACAACAATCAAGCAATCAATCATTTCATAATTTGTTATATATATATATATATATATATATATATATATATATATATATATATATATATATATATATATATATATATATATATATATATATGCCTACTTTTACTTCCAGTTTTGTATAGTTGGCTTTTAGCTCTCTATGATAGAAATTTATATTCAATAGCTTTGCATACGTTTTGGAGATGATGGTTGAAGGGGAAAGAGTGCGACTACTTATTGTAAACAATTGGCCCATACAAGTCAGCATGTGTCACAGATATGTACTTCTTTCAATTAAAATTATGTGACTAATTAATTTGTATATAACAGGTGTATTCATGAGAAATGTATCTGTTTATACATTCCTTCATACTAATCAATTCAATTATCGTCTAAAATATGTTATGAAAGTGTTTTTCTTTTAATGCTTCTATAATACAAATATCTTTGTGTTTTCAGAAAATTGTGCATTTATAGGTTTTTTTTTCCATTGATCCAGTTCAGTTGCCATTAATGCTATTGTTAATAAAATAAATATAATGACGCATTGTTTTGTCCTACCATAGACGTAACATGAAACATGATAACCCAATGGGAAAATTGATACCACAGAGTCTGACACATCTTTTTCATATTTTTGATACTATACTAGAAAAAGACGTTAACGATAACCTAACAACAAAACTTTATGATAAACGTGCTAACTTCAACTTTTCTATCGTCAGCTTCCCTTATTTATGTAGCAGTATTATCCTTATCACCTACATATGGATTTTTTCTCCCAATTGATTTGTTATGCAAGAGCATGCTCTACATACGAACAATTTCTTAAAGGAGGCAAATTATCGACAAACAAGTTGATGAAACAAGGATATCACCAGTCTCGTTTAAGGTCAACATTTCGCAAATTCTATGGTAATAGTCAATACAATCTGCTTGTCGATACAATCTATCATTATGTCGAATGCTTACTTACGTATTTCATACAAATTGTTAGGCCGTTATTTACACACTAAATTGTCCACGGATGAGCACACGGCGGGTGTGACCCGTGGGCAGAGGATGCTTACTCCTCCATGGCACCTGATCCCATCTCTAATGTTTTAGATGTCCGCTTGTTTGCTCTTCTCCTAATTAGTAATGGACTTTTGAGCTTGATTACTGTTCGTTATCTCCATAGTTCATATACTAAGGATTTGAAAATTATCTTTTTTATATCAATAAATTTGATCTTAATTCATTTTTTTCTTGGTGTAATTCATGTCATCAATCTCAATCTATACTCAATATACTCAATCAATCTATACTCTTAGAAGTCGTTCCTAACTCTTTAATTTTTAAAATAACTTTTATAATATGATGACTACTCAAGTCATTGTTTTTATTTTGTGAGATGACTGATATATTAAAAAAAATTAAAATGATGCACTACTTACAAAACTCGGCGGAGAGAAATCCTTTTAAATACATGTACATATGAATTTAAAATTATCATAAATTTTTTTTCAAAACCTATTCATTTTTAATGGTTGATATCCTTATTAAAAGTGACGCTCAGTTATAGTTACTGTAGTACATAAAGGGATGATGTGTGGAGGATTCTTAAAGAAGACAAAGTAATTTAGTGACTAACTAAAAGAATGATGGAATATTGGCGGAGGTTTCCGAATTTATCAACATCTTCGGGGTACAGAGGAGGATAGTTGTTTCAATGAAAATTAAATGGGGGTAATTTGCAGCAGATGCAAAGAAACTTCTGATTATTGATATGATGAAAAACCATCCTAACTTCAGTGGTATTGTCGTGGGCTTCGAGTCGTCCATGCTTACCAAGGCAGGTATGATTCAAAATTGTTTTACATAAAAATAATACATATTACGTAAAGCATAAAAAATAACAAATGTACGCCTTTAACTCGGAGTGTTCAGAGATCTCATGGGTTTGTAAAAATATTAACTTGCTCTTCACATTGTAAATGGCGTGAAGATTCCCGCTTAAGCATATGGAGAGTAAAAAAGGTGACATTGTTTTTGTCTGATCATTATCTACGTAGTTATCCTCGAAACCGTGATTTTTAC